GGCGTAGTGTGTTACCAACTGTTTTTTTGGTGACTATGGCCCCAGCTGCCTTGAGATCATTGACAAGTTCCTTCCGAAGAGTTCTGGGCTGATTCCTCACCGTTCTCATTATCATTGAAACTCCACGAGGTGAGATCTTGCATGGAGCTCCAGACCGAGGGAGATTGGCAGTTATTTTGTTTCTTCCGCATTTGCGAGTAATCCCACCAACTGTTGTCACCTTCTCACCCAGCTGCTTGGCGATGGTCTTGTAGCCCATTCCAGCCTTGTGTAGGTCCACAATCCTGTCCCTGACATCCTTGGAAAGCTCGTTGGTCTTGGCCATGGTGAAGAGTTTGGAATCTGGATTGATTGATTGATTGCTTCTGTGGACAGGTCTCTTTTATACAGGTAACGAGCTGAGATGTGTGCAAACCTTGTGGCCAACTACAAGAAACGTCTGACCTCTGTGATTGCCAACAAAGGTTTTGCCACCAAGTACTAAAGCATGTTTTGCAAAGGGATCAAATACTTATTTCATTCATGAAAATGCAAATTAATGTATAACTTTTTTGTAATGCATTTTTCTGGATTTTTTTGTTATTGTTGTGTCTCTCACTGTTCACATAAACCTACCATTGAAATTGTAGACTGATCATTTCTTTGTTAGTGGGCAAACTTACAAAATCAGCTGGGGTTCAAATATTTTTTTCCCTGACTGTACTTGTTCTCTCAAATGCTGCCTGAAGATTTTATGTTTCCAGAGTTGAGAATAAACTTTGAATCTGAAAACATATTATGTTTATCAGGTCATAGGGAACAGCTGACATAGAGTTACACATTTGGTGTAATATAAATAAATAATGTCTGAATGTGGTTTGCTGTATCACCACATACATGTGAAAAAATGTTTTTGTTGGATACGCTCTATTATTCGTAAAGTGTTTTCTGTTCTATATTTAGCTTCACTATAGCTAACACTATATTTGTCATATATCTTTCCGATTGCCGTTCCCTGAATGTTCCTGTCTGACATACGTCTGTTGGCTGAAACAAAGAGCTGGTTCCTGTCCCTTCTTCCTGCACCTCTTTGAAGAGCTGATAATCTCAGCACAAGCTCAAAGCAAGGCATTTAATCAAAGAGCAACCACAAATGCATGCAAGTACACTTGTGTGCACCTATAAGCAGAGTAATGTTAGTTCATTGTGATCAAAATATAAACAGCAGTATTCTGTTTAAACAAAGCAGCAACAAAATGCATGTAGAGACACAATGCCATTGAGTGCCAACTTAATGAATGTCAAAAGAAATGATGATGTTGGACACTGTACACACACACACACACACACACACACTGGGTTAGTTGCTGTATAGTTACACCATCTCTTTTAAGTATACATCCGAGACTTTAACTATTCAAAAGTTCCAATTCAAAATCTTGGCACTTGCACTTTCATCTATCACACAATTTATACTCGGTATTCAAACTGTCTACTGCATCGCACAGGTGTTCACTCTTTGTTGTCAGCCCTGCACTCTCACACTGCTCCGTCCTATGTGAGATGGTGCTTGGGGTAAAATGTTGGGTGGCTTATTTGTGTAAGGCAATTTCATCTTGCATCTCCAGTCAACCAAAACAGTGCTTTAAAGAAAAAGTCAAAGTAATTACAAATGTATTCATATGGCACAAAGTGAGTCCTGTACTACTGAGGGAAATGAACTATTTATATTCAGACGGTCCTTGCTAAGCCTAGGACACATGGATGTAATAACTTATTAATTCCACCCGCAGGAGAAAAGGCTGTTGCTTGAGACAGAATTGCAACAAATGAGATGGGTGGTAAGACAGAGTAGAACATGCAACAAAATGTCAGTGGTGTGTCAGTGAAGGGTGATAAATTCTCTACAAGTTAAAACCCTTGCTTTGTTCTCTTTTTCTTGTCTTCCCTGTGTGAAAGATCACTTTGCTCCTTGTGTGTGTATGTGTTCTGATGACTGGCTTCTTTCCATCTATGATTTATTCATAAACTTCAACATGATCAGTGTATTATTGATCAGGACCAATCACTGTCTCCTCCCTTTGATGTGAC